TCTAATGAAAAAATGATCAGATATGTTCTCTTTCTTTGATTTTCCTCCTCCTCTCTCTCTCTTAGATTGGAATAATTGGTGGAACTGGCCTGGATGACCCAGAAATTTTAGAAGGAAGAACTGAAAAATATGTGGATACTCCATTTGGCAAGGTTAATATCCAGTTCATGGAGACATGTTAGGTTTTTCCTTTCTCCTTGTTGGCTTAATTTTTAAGTTAAAAAATAAAGAATTGCTTGGTCTTGGCAGCCCAGGGCTGCAGGCCCCAGGCATGAAGGGCCAGGAGTCCTGCTGCTGGGTTTGGTCAGCTGAGAGGGGCTTTGGACCTCGCTGGATTGACAGCATGGCTCTGGTGTGCACAGATAACTTTCAGCTTATGTGTTTTGAGAAGCCAGGTACTCTTTTTAGACATAGCTGCTGTATTCTTCTGGCCTGTCCATTCAAATCAGCTTACCTCTATTTCAGGCCTCTGGGTCACCCCATGCTGATTTAGGGGATAGGCTGATGACTAAAAGAAGCACTGGTGGCTCAGTGATTAAGTGGTTGGTTGCTAACCAAAAGGTCAGTAGTTCAAAACCACCAGATGTTCTGCGGAAGAAAGATGAGGCAGTCTGCTTCTGTACAGATTTTTACAGCCTTGGAAACCCGATGGGGCAGTTCCGCTCTGTTCTTTAGGACCAGCATAAGCTGGAAAAAACTCAATGCCAATGAGTTTTTTTCTTATGACTGAAGGGAGGAAGTATCACTACAAAGTGTTATTTTTTTTTTAGTGAGCCCTGGTTCAAAGAAGGGTTATTGTCAGGATCCAGGACACAGTTGCTGATCCATGTGCATGAATGAACTGGAAATAAAATAATCCTCATTTTCTAGTAGAGACTGTTAGTTCTCCAAGCCCCCCTGTGTTGCCCGCCCTGGTCCAGGGTGGGGTGTCTACCTTTTCCTAATTCCATATTACTACTTCCAAGTAACCTAGTTCCTCTGATTCTTCTGTGAAGATCCCCACATCTGACCATCCCCACCATATCCACCTTTTCAGTAACTCCTTAGACTGACCGTGTATCTTCTAAGTCCTGCAGTCAGCTTGGACAGCTTCTTAACCTCCTATTTTCTTAACCTCCTTCAGTTTTAGGGACCATTTTCCACTCCCTCAGGTCATTCCATGGCTGTCTTGGACCTGGTTAAGACAAACAAACAGGTCCAGAGCTGAGTTCTTAAATCCCGAGACAGTTCTCTCAGACGCACACCTATTCTTGAACCTGCCAAAGCCCCTTGACCAGTCTGCCATCCCAGATCCTTGAGGTGCCTGCTACAAATAGATCTGGCTGAATGGTACCTACGTAGGCATCCAAGGCAGACTTCAGAGTCCTGCTGATCTCTGTGCCTACAGAGGGCTCAGTGTATATTTATTGAATGATTAAGCTGATCAGTCAAATCTAGACTTCTTTTACTTCACTAAGGCAAATCCTAGTGTGGAGAAATGGTTCAAATGGCATCTTTTAATTGTGTATATATACATAC